CTAAATTCATATTATCAACACTAATGTCTACTAACATCTTTTCGCTAAAACAAAAACCAAACTTATTTTATATCCTGTCAGAATTATCTCTGTAAACTTAAATGATAAATATAAGAGGAAATATTAAAAGATTTAAGGAGGATGAAAGAAATTATATTTCACTTACACAAATAACAAGGGAGCATGCCCCTGAAAAGTTTAACCTGTAAGCAAAGAATAGACTAATGTAGAAGATGTTAAATTTTCTGCCTAATATATATCTTAATACTTAGTATACCAACATGTTAAAAAAGCATTATCCCCCCAAAAAAACCTCATTATTACTTTTTTATACTGTGATTTATCATAAATTTTGTTGATTACAGTGAAATGTTTATTGACAATATTTTTTTTGCTTATACAAAAGTATTTTCTAAATTCTAACGGAGGTAATCAAAAGTTCACGTGAAAGATATATAGATATAGATTATTTGTTTTCTATTTTTTTGAAATTATATGTATTTGTTATTTTCTTTAAAACTTACATAATTTCTTCTAAAATAAAAATAAACTATACAAACTTTATTTGATTTATTTAAAGTTACTTAAAATTTCATTTAACTTTGTAGACATATGTAACCTTTTTTTTAACATATGTAATAAGTTATAAAAGAATCGCAAGTTTTACTAAAATTGGCTAACTTTTGATTTCAATCCAAATTTGTGCTGATTGTAAAAATAAAATTCTAATTTTTTTGTAACTGAATAATACAATAGATATTTATGTAAGTTGCAAAATTTGACAGAAACACTGTTTAATTTAATAAAGTTTATAAATTCATAGTCGTTTTAATTTATAACCAGAATGTGGGAGAGAAATAAGGAATGTGGAAGGAAATTTAGGAGGTCTAGTTAGGGGCAACTGAGTAATTTTAAATTTATATGTTATTAATTTATTATCTGGTTTTTTAAAATAATTTTAATTTTAATGATCCTTTAAATTAAATATTATATTTTCTGGGTCCTTCTCACTAATTTTTCCTAATTATTAATATTTAACTGTTACTTTTAATCATATTTATCCGAACCGTCAAATTAGAACACATCAAATATTCTGTGATCGCATCAAATATTTCAAGAATATTTTACAATTCTTGATTAATAACCGTCAAATGGTGTAATTTTATTTGACGGTTCTTTCTTAATAATTGTCAAATAAAATCATCTGATTTGAATGCTTTTTTTATTAACAATTAAACCTCACTTTATTAATAACCGTCAAATAAGATTAAAAAAGTGTCAAATAGAGTGCCCATGCCGGTGAAAGATTTTAAAATCTTTCTTTTTAATAAAAATATAGAATATATAGTAGAAAATAAATATAAAATAGTCACCGAATGAATTCAAATATAACTAATTCATCATAGGTTCAAAAGTTATTGTTTTTAAAATTTCTTAACTTTTAAAGATAAGTGTAAAGAAAGAGTGAAGTTTAAGTTTAAAAAATATATAGATCAATTCCACGGATAAAATTATAAATAAATTCAAAAATTTAACCATTAAATAGAAATAAAAATAATTAATCATGAGTTAAAATTTTTAAGCGATCCAAATTTTAAATTTGAATAATAAATATAATATTATGTGCCTAAATAATAGTACATAGATTTATTTTTTCATTTCCAATTTTGTCAAGGTAACTCATTATTCTGGTTTTCCAATTCAGCCTCATAAGGGTCCCCGTGAACCCTGCAAATGTTCCATGTTCCGCGGCGAGAGGGGCATGGAATATAAGACCCAACCAAGAAGACTCGAAGCATAAATGCATAGTCACCACAAAAGCTAAAAAAAATATATTACCTTTTCATTTCTCGAAAATAACCGCTCAGTATTGGTTTAAGAAAATTGTTAAAATTGATTAAAAGTAATTAATATGTAACAAATATAATTTTTTTGGCAAATATATTCCTATGTATAAGTGGATAGATATGAGAGAATAATAGTGAGATAAATAAAGAAAAGAATGTATTAAATGCATTAAACTAGGGTTGAAATAGGTAATAATGCATTAAATATTCAGACAAACTAAAAAAAGATATTATAAAAAGGAACAAACATATTCAAAAAATTGGATCTTATAATAAGGGACGGAGGAGTATTATATTATAGGAAGGCAGCACTACCACATGCATTCTCACTTGATTTCCCCATTTGATCCTTTTTTTTTTGGTGATTTTTTACGGAGAAGATCAAGGCATCTAATAATATTATTATTTTAGTTGTCAACATAAGCTTTATTTTAATCTAATATTTCATGGCAAAAAATTAATCTAATATTTATGATCTTTGTTAAGTTTATAATTATTTTTTTATTTGATGATGTTTGGTGACTTCATGTATAAACTCGATAGAAATTTTTATAATGAGTATGTTAATCTATGACGGTTGGGAGATTTAATTTCAACAACCTTAAGGGTGAAAGTACATCTAACATCATGAAGTATTTTTTTAGATAGATCTGGTATTTTAGATTAGTATGTATTGTATCTGATTGCACTTTAAAGCACTTTTTAAGATATATCAAGCAGTCTAAAATATTTTTTAATACAATTTTACACTAAGCAATTTAAGGTGCTAGATTTATTAAAAAATAATTTAGGATAATAGACGCACCTAAAAAAATATTTTAAGGTGTTGAAGATACTAAAATATAATTTAAGATACTGACCATATCTTTTAGGATGTTGAATACATCAAAAAATACTTAAGAATATTAGATGCACTTGAGGATGATGGATGCACTTTATAATTTTAATAGCTATTTATTAATTAGTAATAAACTCTTATAATTATTAATAGGTGGCAATCTGGCATTAGGTCATCAATGGAGACTACTTTATGGCATTAGGTCACCCAAAATTTTTCCCTGCATATGTGGCAACCTGGCATTCAAAAACAACGTCACTCATTTACCTCCTTGGTGTCTTATCCCAGGACCTTGTTTCTTTAAAGTGATTTCTCGTCGTCAAAACATGTATAAAGTGCAGTAATTATTAGACAATTTTGACATATTTTGGTAATGGCTTTATAGTGCCACTAGAGGAGCACATCGTCCAATCATGAATCTGCATGAGAGAAGTCTAAGCGTTTTAGCATGCCGCTATGTGGACAAGGTTATAATTGGAGCACCATGGGAGATTTCAAAGGATTGGTTAGTTCTTAAACTCAGTAGTTCAATTATTTTGGAATCTTTCTCTGTTCATATGGGCAACATTGTTTTGATCAATGATCATTTAATGGAGAGAATAATTGAATTGATGTCTATCTATTATGAATCTATGTAGAACTATTAAACTGTAAACTGAATGGCAACTAGTTCATGACATCTTTCTTTTTCCATGTTTTGAGTTTTGAGCCACTGTTAGGCTATTTTAAATGCCAGAGAAAATAAGTATGGCAGGAGGGCCTGAGCGAACTACAGTCCTCCCATTGTTTCGTAACATATCCCTTTGCTTGGGATGAAACTAGCACGTGAGTTAGCTTATTTTATGCATGTTTGTCAATAGACATGTTTTGATTATTGTCAGCAAAGCTGCAAAACATGTCTTCTAAATGCTGAGTTGCATTGGTCTTGCTAGGTTCAGTAGCAAAGTGTTAATGCTTTTCTTTTTATAATATTTTAATTTTAATGCTTTTCTGTCTATAATATTTTTAAAAGTACTAGTTAAGTAATTACTCATACATCCATTATTGTGATGCACTGATTGTTGAATTTCTGTTGAGTGCAGATCACAACATTTAACATCTCATTAGTTGTCCATGGTACCATAGCAGGAAAAAACGGTTTTCAGAAGGCAAGTTTGCATAATTTATACCCAATTCAGATTTATGTACAGTTCTCTGCTTGTGTTGCTGATGAAGGTAAAGTTCGTGGAAAAATACTCTTATTTTATTGTGAATAATCTGAATTACAGAGGGCAGGAACCAAAAAATAAGTAGTTACCAGAGCAAGAAGATAGCACGCAGGGCATGCTCCAGATAAGGGAAGAAAGAAGAAAATAAAACACAATAATTTGGGTAATAAAAGCCTAACTATAAACAAAAGGAGGTGAGAAAGTGAAACAGAGAAAAAGAAAAAGTATCCGTTGCAAGAAATCTGGGGATTAAAGGAAGATTTGGGTAGGTAATTATTCATGCCAGATCTGGAATGTTTAAAGGAATTACACAGGGGAAAATAAAAGGCGACTTGCATTTATTAGTTCAGAGCATGCGTATATATATACATGGAACGAGCGAGAATATCGCAATGTTTTGTTTTGTATACCTACTGTATCTTTGTGAATATTAAATAAATAATATATTTACATGCAATATCAGATTTCATATCTTAACGCACGTCCTATATCTTCGGGATACTTCTACACGGCCCCTCAAGTTGGTGCATGTAAATTGGCGATGCCCAACTTGCTTATGATTGTCTGAAACTTGTCTCTTCCAAGTGGCTTCGTGAAGGCATCCGCAAGCTATGCTTTTGTGGATATCTTGGTGGGTTTCACCTCTTTGCTTTGCACCCTTTTCCTCACAAAATAGCAGTCCATTTCGACATGTTTGGTGCATTCATGAAAGACCGGGTTAGCAGCAATGTGTAGAGTTGATTGACTGTCACAAAACAGAGTTGTAGCCTTCCCTTGTCTCTCTCCAAGTTCTTGCAACAAGTATCATAGCCATATTAGCTCACTGACTGTGTTCGCCATGGCTCGGTATTCTGCTTCTGCTGATGATCGTGCCACAAAACTTTGTTTCTTTGACCTCCAAGAGGTTGGTGATCCTCCCAAGGTAATGTAGTAGCCTGTACATGACCTTCGCGTTGATTTACAACGGCCCTAGTCTGTGTCACAATATGCTAGGAGCTCACATACTCCTTTGTTTCGTAAGAGGATGCGTTGTCCTGCTGTTGTCTTTAAGTAGCGTAGGACCCGCTCAGCAGCATCCACGTGTGTTTGTGTTGGGTTGCTGGAGTATTAACTTAGGACGTTCACAGGGTATACTAAGTCTGGCCTTGTCACTATGAGATACAGTAATTGCCCGATCAACCTCCTGTATCTTCCTTCATCTACTACTTCATATCCTTCTGGAGGCTCTAGATTGCAGTTTTCTTCCATTGGGGTAGAGGTGGGTCTGCAGTTTTCCATTTTAGCATCTTTCAGTATATCTAGCACATACTTTTGTTGACTAAGTACGACGCCTTCTTTGAGCTTGGTTACTTCGATGCCCAAGAAGTATTTGAGGGGACCAAGGTCCTTAATGCTAAAATTTTTGTGCAAATGCTTCTTTATTTCTGCTATCTTCCCTTCGTCATTTCTAGTAATTATTATATCATCTACGTATATCAATATAGCTGCAAACGTTTTTTGCATTCTGTAGATGAGAAGTGAGTTGTCAGCATGTGATTGTTTGAAACCAATTCGCAGTAGCACACTGGTGAATTTTTGGTACCAGTTCCTGGAGGCTTGTTTAAGCCCACACAATGATTTTTGAAGTCGAAAAACTCTTGTGTCTCCTTTTTAGCAGAATCCTTGAGGTATCTTCATATAAACCTCTTCTTCCAATTCCCCTTGCAAGAAAAGCATTATTGACATCTAGTTGGTGCATCATCCATCCTCTTTTTGTGGCTATAGCGAGTAATGTTCGTACAGTGACAAGCTTTGCAATAGGAGTGAACGTTTCGTGGTAATCCACTCCTTCCACCTATGTATACCCCTTTGCTACAAGACGAGCTTTGTTCCGCTCTAATGTGCCGTTGGGTTTGAATTTTCTTTTGTAAACCCATTTTGAATCTATGGCTCTCTTCCCTTTTGGCAATTCCTTCAAGGTCCATGTTCCATTTCTCTCCAGAGCTTCAATCTCTTCCTTCATGGCCTTTCGCCAACAGTCATGTCATGCTGCCACTGTAAAAGTTTTCAGCTCATTGTTGGTAGTGATGGCTATGAGAAAGGCTTTATGTCATGGCGAGAAATGTTCATAAGAGATAAATTGTGATAAAGAATACACAGAATATACCTCAGAGTTTCCTGTTGCTGGAGTGGACTGCGATGGGGCTATAGAAGGGGGAAGGTCAACTTCATAATCCTAAAGTTTCTTGGATGTCTCTCGCACACGTGTACTCCTACGCAGTGCTTCACCAACTCCCACCGTAGCTGTTAGGTTCTCATTTATAATAGGCCCATTTAAGTTCATGGGTTGTTCCATGATGGTGTCCAGCTCATTTCTAGCTCCCAAGTCTGCTACTACATGAGGTGTTTTATCATCAAGGTATATGGCTTCTATGTCACACGTGTCTTGCATTGGGGGGTGTGTCATCAAGGTGCCCTTTTATGAAAGGAAACTCACTTTCAAAAAAAGTCACGTCTCTGGACACAATGATCTCCCTCTTTTCAATATCAAATATTTTGTATTCTTTTTGTCTTATTGGATAACCGACAAACACTCCACGTCTCCCCCTTGCATCAAACTTGTCTTTCACCATGAGATCCTTATAGTACGCTAGGCACCCAAAGGTTCTCATATGATCAAAGCTCGGCCTTTTTCCAGTGAGCACCTTGTAGGGTGTTTTGTTACTAGTTGCTTTAGTGGGAATTCTGTTGATAATGTACACTGCAGCGAGTACACATTCTCCCCAAAATTCTATAGGCATCTGCGCATTGAAATGTAAGGCTCGAGCAATCTCGAGTATGTGTCGATGTCGTCGTTCTATGACACCATTTTCTTGTGGAGTATAGGTGCATGTCGTTTGAAGCATGATCCCTTTCTCCTCATAAACTGCTGTCAAGCAACGAGACTGAAACTCACTTCCATTGGCTACTCGTAACTGCCTTACTTTCTTTTCGAATTGAGTTTCTACCATGTTGAAGAACATTGGTAGTAATATGCTCACTTTAGATTTACTTTTCATTAGGTAAACCCATGTCGCCCTGCTGTGATCATCAACAATTGTAAGAAAAAATTGGGATCCATAAAGAGATTGAGTTCTGTAAGACCCCCAAATATCACAATGAATGAGCTCGAAACAAGAAGTACTTTTTATTGAACTAAAAGGAAAAGACAATCGAGTTTGTTTTGCCTTCATACAAGCATCACAAGGCCTTATGGACTCATCTTTAGAAATACTACGAATCAAATCTAACTGCTTAAGTTTTTCATTTGAGACATGCCCTAGTCTCTCATGCCAAGCCGTGCCATCTACTAATTCTCTAACTGCTAGCTCCCTTAATTCTGGCAGCGGCGGCTCCACTATGTATAGCCCATCACAGTGCCTCCCCACACCAATCAGGTTCCTCGAGTGTACGTCCTGTATAACACAAAAATCTCTTGTGAACATCATGAAGCAATCATAACCCCTAGTGATTTTACTTATGGAGAGTAAATTACATTTAAAAATAGGTATTTTTAGGACATCTTTTAGCTTCATTCCACCCTGTAAATATATGTTTCCTGAGCCCTCAACAGCAATGCTTTGTCCATTTAGGATTTGAACAGGTCTGTGTGCCCCTTTCATTTCTTCTCCAATTAGCTCACCGTCACAAGTGATATGGTTGATGGCTCCAAAGTCAATAATCCAAGGTTTATCAAATAAAATTCTACCTGCCATATTCATGCTGGGTTGCTGGTTCTGTTGGTTGTCCCTTGCTGTAGCTCCTTCTTTCCCAAAATATCTAATCAGTTGTTCATACTGGCTCATGGAAAGTCTTGGAAGTGGGCTCTCTTCCAACTCCACATATGCTACTTTTGGCCATCTCGATCTATCGGTCTATGACCCACTTCGTCTGTCTCGTTTAGACTTCTTCCAATCAGGTGGGTAGCTGATGATCTCGTAGCATTGATCCTCAGTGTGCCCCAATTTTTGGCAATGTGCACACTTCAGCTTATCTTTCTTCGGGCTTGTCCTTTCTGTTGACTCTCTCTGGCTCTGAGGATGTTGCACATGGAACGCCATCCCTTCTACTATGGGTCTTTGCATAGAAACTTCCCGCTGCTTCTCATCTTCAGCTACCAGATGATACACGTTCCCGAGGCTCATCATGGGCTTGGTGCTAAGGATCTGCATTCGTACAGTGTTGAACGTTTCATCCAGCCCCATGAGGAAGTCATATAATTGCTCCCTTTCATGTATCTGCATCAACTCCTTTTCCATTTCACAGGTACAGCCCCCTCATCTGCGCTTTGGTCACGGCATCAAAGATTCCATCTCATCCCATAAGGATTTCAACTTGGTGTAGAAAAACGGTACATTCTGTCTCTCCTTCTTGAGAAGTGCGACCTCTCTTCGCAACTCATATAGTCGAGGTGCAATCCCCTCTCTCTTCTAGATCCGTCCAAATCTCTTGTGCTGTTTTGGCATATCTCACGTTGCTACGAACCTCCTTTCCTATTGCACTTTTAAGCCAGCCTTTTACCATGGCATTACATCTCATCCATAGAGCTAGTTCTGCTGAATCTAGTTTCAGCATTGCTATCGACCCATCAGCAAAGCCCATCTTTTTTTTAGCGAAGAGAGCATTGCTCATGTCGCTTACCCATTCGCCATAGTTGTTTTCATTGAGCGGTTCACTCACATATATTTGCCCAGGGTTGTCCGAGGAATGTAGGTAGAACGGTGACATCGTGTCTGCACTGAATGAAGACATGTCTGCCTTCTCCTTTCCTGTTTCACTAGAGCTGGTCATCATCATCTCTATTCTTACGACCTACGCTCTGATACCATAAAGGAATTACACAGCGAAAAATAAAAGGTGACTTGCATTTATTAGTTCAGAGCATGCGTATATATACACAGGGAACGAGCGAGAATATCGCAATATTCTGTTTTGTATATCTACTGCATCCTAACCTACTGTATCTTTGTGAATATTAAATAAATAATATATTTACATGCAATATCAGATTTCATATCTTAACACATGTCCTATATCTTCAGGTCCTATATCTTCGGGATACTTCTACAATGTTTTCCAGATTCGGTCACCCTCCATTATTTAACCAAATCAATCTCCGATCCTTATAGATTTCAACCCTGGTGCCAACAGAAGGCAATAACTTGTTGCTTTTGTCAGATATAGAATTATACCATTTAGGTGGCTACTCAGATTGGTTTTCATACGGGAAAATAGCAACCAATATGCTGTTCCCATCAGCATGGGCATCTTCCAAATCCTTGAAAGTCCTCTAAATATCACAACAACTACAATAATTAGAAGGATTGTAGCAAATCATGAGGCTTACCAGGTAATTATGTTTTTCCATTCGTTTTGCATTCAAGTATATTATTTTTTATGCTATTCTGTTATTTAGGTTCTGCTCATGGTGCGCATCTCTCTGTGCATTTGTGATACCATTGGTCCCTTTTTTGTGTATGCTTCTTTTTCTTGAATTGAATTCTTGCAAAAATAGGATTTGAACTTGAGACCCTAAGAAGTTTGAGGCTGGCAAGCTACCAAGCTGCTTGGCACCACAGTATAGAGGCGACTTTAGAATTACTAAAGAAAGAAGGATTTAATGCATCATTCTATCATGCCTGCACTAATAGGAACCCACTTATTCAAAATGGTGGCAGAAAACCTATTGCAGTTGAGTATTATAGAAGAATAGAAAAATGGAGAGAAATTTTCATTCATAACAAGTGCTTCGTTCGACTGACATGTATAGACTATTTCAGGAAGCATCTGTCCAGATTACCCCAGACCTCAATAACTGGCACTTACATGTTTAAAAAGGGAAGATGTTAGATGCACTTTTACAGTGATGATTGTAACTTCCCATAAATTGTCCATCTATCTTGTGTATTTCCTGCTTTTTATAATTGGGAGACTAAAGAATCAAGTAATCGTTTCATTCTAATTTTTTCCTCTTCTCCCTCTAATTTTTGTTGGAATCTCAGTGATTTTCAGTTTATTCATTTCCTATTGTTCCTTATTTACCTCACAGGATCTCATCATCGTAGTTATTTTTTCCATCAATATATCATGTTTTTATTATGTATCGTTTCCTCATGTCATGTGCTTACAATTTTCGTCCTAGCACCTTTGCCATTATTGTTTTCCATTATGCATGCAGAAGGGCAATGAAAAGAAGGGAGAGAGTGAGAAAAGATACTATGAGGATAAGTCATATGTGTCTGGGGACTGATTTTATGGATCGTTCTTTGTCTGCTGTGAAGGACACATGTTTTTGGTTTTTCTATCTTTCTTTTCCCTCTTAACCATATATTTAGGATTTCTTGCAGTTCGATTACACTTAGTTTTCGCCCAAATGATTATGTTGTCTTTACAAGTCAGAACCTTAAGATTATTTAATTACTTTTATTTTGGCTATAACCAGACGCTGTACCCGTGCGATGCAGGAGGCGATGCATTTTCGATTGTCTTTTAAGTTAGATGTAAGTTCTAGAAGTAATGAATTTATCATACTAATGAATAAAATGATTAGATGAATAAGTGAGCGGAGATTGTGAAATCTAGAGACATTTCAAGTCCAAAGAATATAGTGCTTGAATATTCAATTGACTGATTCTATTAAATAATACTCCCTCCGTTAAGCTTCAAATTTAGGAACGGATGTGATCCATTTTATAAATTTCAATTTGTTTTTATCTTAATATTTAATGTATTTTTTTAATTTGGCTCTTAATTATTTATTCTCTCTCTTTTGCCATAGTCTTTGGTCATATTTACTCACGTATTCTCTTTCATCATTTTTCTCATGTAGTGTGAGGATATATTTGGAAACACAAGTATATTTCTAACCTATTTATTGCTTTTAACTAATTTTTGCTAATTGTTTTTTATCTGCAAATTAGTTATTTGAAACTTATAATATAAAGACAGGAAGGAGGACAAGTCATTTGGATATGTGGAGTTCAC